CACACACATATATATATATATATATATAAGATAAAGTCAAATATTTCTGCTTTAAAGAAGTGTGCTACTGAGAGTGTGGAGTTGTGCAGAGCTCTCACAAATGGCTCATTGTAGTGCTGGATGCCATGAGCAGGCAGCACATTTCACCTCAGCATGTGTCAGTTGGCACGTAGTGGTTAGGGCTCAGACCAGGATCTTATTGAGGACGTGTGAAGGGATGATCAATAATTCCTTGGTGGGCCTGTTTCCTAGGCTGTCTGCATTTGACACAGTGACATGATTTTTGCTCTTTGTGTGTTACAGGAAATCTTGAAATTTCAGAGTTCTTTCCAGGCTTTAGAACAGACCTGCCATATCAGACTTTATTTTAAATCATTCTGTAGACACAAACAGTATTCTGTAAGCTTCTGTTAGGGTCTAAAAGGGTTTTGGATGTTGAATATCTTTGTTGAAAGACAACATGAGGCAAGAGAGGCAGTACTGAAAAGATGTGGCATAAAGCCTGCTAAGAATGAAGAAGAACCTTATTTCTCAGGGGGAAGAAGAAGTGCCACACTGAACCTCTATCTTCTGTTTGTTGCCTGGAGCTCTTGTTTGTGTTTCAGGCAGGACTGTGTGCTCAGCAGAGTGTGTGTGAGAGCAGGAATTCTCGGCTGTGTTTCAGAATGTGCCCATGTCCCAGCACTTGTCTGTACTGATGTGCTCAGTGATGGATGGATTGCAGGGCTGGCAGGTTCTTCTTGTGTGTTTGTGGGGCTGCACAAGGTCCCTGTCCTGACAGCAACCTGCAGACATCCCATTGCTCAGCATGGCCTGCCCCTGCCGCTTTACCCGTGCTGATCTGTGCTTCCTTCTGAGTGGGAACTACGCAACAGAAATGCAGAACAATCAGGACTTGAAAAATCCAGGCTAGAGCTTGGCAGTGCTTCCAAATGGAATGTGGCTTCTTGGTGACACAGGGTCTCTTTTTTTAGGAGAAAAAAAAAATGAAAGTACATCTTTTTTATCAAAGGACACAACTTGGAAGTTTCTGCTGAAGATGGAAAAGTATCAAAATTACAATATGGATTTAAAGCTTTGTGGTTTTTTTTTTTGAGGATGACTTAGAAAAGGTATCCATCCTCCTCTCTCCAAATCAATGAAAATCCAATTGAATAGGATTGAAATGAATTTTTCTATAGGAAATAGAATGCTGCTTAACATCTTTACTAATAATTATCACTCATACTATTGTCATTATTTGTTTGCAAGTGCTGTTAATACAGGTGCCTACTGATGTGCTTAGGCTCAATGTAGCACGGCTACATCTGTGTGGGAATGTAGTGGAAGGGAGATCTAAGAGGTGGCCATGTCCTTTCAGGAGAGCAAGGGAAGAGAGAAATCTTCTGAGCGCTCCTTATGTAGCTGCATGACATCGAAATGCAGGCTGCAGGTTCACACTTGCCTGCATGCATGAGAACCATCCATGCAGGTCTCCCTGGCTGTGGTTGCAGCCATGAGGAAAGCTATAAGGCTCTGTTAGGCAGCTCTGGGCCTGTCAGTAAATCATTGCACAGTTCAGGTTGTTTTGTCCCTTCATTGGACTCCATAGAATCAGGCAAACTGTGCTGAGCTGGTCCCATCTGCATCCAACCTGGACAGCAGCTTTATCTTGCCTTGTAAAACTGCAGAGCTCTGTGACAAAAGAGTTAATCTCTGCCTTTGTTTCTCTTTCTCTATCTCTTCTCTCTTGCATCGGGGCTGAAAGGCAAGATGAGAGCAGATCCATCAGTGTCAGCTGCTTTTGGCACATCAGCACTTTTGGGGGGTTTATTGGGGCCTAGCCCATCAGCAGCACTTCCAAACAGCTCTGCCCTGCAGCAGCCCCCTCCTCCTGTGAGCAGCCGGGCTGGGGGGCAGCTCCTGCCCCTGGTGCCCCCAGCCAGGCTGGGTGATGAACGGCCACCTGCGTATCACCGTGGCTGGCTGAGTCTGGGGGGCTGCCCAGAGCTGAGCTCCTGGGGAGACAGCAATGGAACTGCGTTCATTCCTGGGTGGACGTGTGTCTGTGTGTGTCCGTGTGTCCGCGTGATCTGAAATAATGCACTTGACACGTGCATGCTTCACTTCCAAAACGGAGTAACGCAGAAGAGGGGTGAACGAGAAGGAAAAAAGCAATCTGATTGACAGGTTAATGAAGCAGTTCATAAGAGCCATGTATATTATAACCATAGAAACGGCTTGTAAATAGCAGTGCTTTACACGTATAAGCAGACTGCCGTGCCCAGGTCTGTGTGTAGCTGTGTTTTACTTACATGTAAAAAGTGTGTGCCTGCGTATACGCATTTCTGAAAGATGCAGGAATGAAACATCAATTCTCTGCACTGAAACCAAAGAAAAAATGTGAGTCAGAAAAAAGATAAACTTTGTTAGCCTAGCAGCATTGTATATTCTATGCCTGTTATTTTACTCCTGGGGCTGGAAGTCTTCCAAAGCAGTGGAGGGAGTTTGGAGCACACATCTTGCTAACGTGTTCCTAAGATCTTTTGGTCATCTTGAAAGCTCCACATGTGTCTCCCAAACACAGGGGCTCGCTGGAGCCACTGCAGCCCATCCATATGGGTCTGGGATGTCATGGTAGTGTGAAGAAAAGGGAGCTGAAGATTGAACCCTGATTTAATCCAGTTTTGACTAATTCCTCATCACATTGATATGTCATCAATAGATAGATGCATCTTTAACTAGGCAGAAATTTGGATGTCTTTGTTTGCCTCTGTATTGTATATATCCATGGGAATTTCCCCATGTACTCTAGACTGGGGCAGTGACTTACACAACAATCCTTTCTTTGTGAAAGCAATTAGTAAATATAAATAGCAGTATACTGAGCTCTTGTGGATGGGCAACAACCCCAGGAGCTGAAAAAGCAAGTTCAGCATGACTAAGGACCTTTGGCTTTTCATTCCATGACTCTGCTTTTACTTGTAAGCCTCAATGTTACAGTAAGGTATTTCCTTTGAGCTCTTTTCCTGGCTTGTCTTAGGGAAAAAGAGAAGAAGATTAAGAGATTTCTCATACACACAAAGGAGCGTTAAAGTTGCCAACTCCCAAAGACATCACGTGGTATTTCTGAGCATCATCATTGTGGGTGAAAAAAATCAAAGATCCAAGAGTGCTGGAAAGGCTCAGATCCGGAAGGCTGACAGACAAAACTCAACTGACACAGTACAAATCTGCCTTTGATATTGAAGTTTGAATCAGACCTGAACTCTCGAGAAAGCCCTCAGCAAACTCCCCTCTGAGAGTATAACTAAATTCCTGGCCTCAAGATTTCTGGAAAGAGTTGTGCTGGTTGTTTCCCCCCCCGGTGTGAACTCTGAGGTGAAAGTGCTTAAGAGGAGGAATGTGAGCAGAGGCTGCCAATGTGACGTGTGGCAGCGTACGAGGAACATAGGCAAGTGTGTGCGTCTCAGGCAATTTGCAAATGGCCATCCCTGTGAGTCTTTTGCCACATGTGCTTCTGCTACCGCAGCAAGGGGTCCATTTGCCACAAGGCAACTAGTGTTGTCTTGGTCTAGCTCTTGACCAGAGTTCTTGATGCTGAAGTGTCACCAGCTGCACTTTGCTCACTTTGACTCTGCTGAGAGCACCATGTTTTCCTTCCATTTCTGTGTTTGTGTATCTTTGGCAAAGTCCTCTGGGCTTGTAGCTCTGTTGCAAGCAAGTTATTTGTCCTGTGTTGTATGTTCCTGCTCTTTCATGAAGTATGCAATGATGCTTTTTTGCATTCAGACACTCAGTGCTCAGTGAACGCTTAGGAAAACCCCATCCTTTTTAAAATGTAAAAATATTACTCTTACCTCTTCTAGCAGCACTCATTGTAATTATTTCTGATAGTATAAATAGGCACATTCAAAACCACTTACCCACAGAACTGTTTTGCAGCTTGTTGAAACTGCGGGGAAAATGCCTGTAGGCTTCTTGTGCTCCTGCAATGGGATCTTCCAAGCACACAGCTCTCCCTGGAGAGTCATGCTTGCAGGCGAGTCTGAGGAGCACGCCACTTTCAAGGAAAGGATACATGCAAATACTTCTGACATTGCTGTCTAACCCCCTGACGCTACACTGCTGTCATTTTGGTACTGAAGGTGGTGCGTGTTCAGTGGCCAGACTCCTTTAATGGGGGACAGAGGTTTGTGGGAGTGAGCTCTTCTGGGTTATGGCTGGGAATCCTGTGGTTTTGGATGCAATTTGCACTACTGTCCATGAACACTGCTCTGCCCATCGTTCCCTACCCTTCTCTAAGCTCCACTCATCCTCTGTACCCTGGGCTTAGAGTGTTCTGTTGCTGTCTGTGAGCATTTCAAACTCTCTCTGTAAGATGGAAGAGAGCAAAATGAGCAAAATGGATGAGAGGAGATTTGGGGCTTATGCATTCTGTTCAAGTTGTAGCCTAGAGAGCATGTTCTTGCAGCAGGGACTTGCCATGTCTTAGTTCTTCACTGGGGAGGACTGTTAGTTTTGAGCAGTCTGACACTGCTTGTGTAGTTCTTTCCTTTGCCCCAGGAATGCGGACAACTGTGGGTGTGGGGGCCAAGTAATGTTATGTAGGAGCAGCAGGTTGAGGAAGGGCAGCAAACAAGGTGCCTCGCCTTGGTGTAAGGAGGCCAGGGCTGTGCACAGCAGCTCACTGCTTGCTGCAGACCAGGCTAGCAGGTATGAGAGGGCTTCCCAGGCAGTGCAGCAAGCTCAGCTTTGCTGCTGTCACCAGTGCTGAGAGTAGAGGCTGGGGATAGGTGAATCCAAATATCCGGATCGCAGGGATGTTGGCTAGAAATGTTCCACCCTATCTGGATGGCTGCATTTGCCTGATATTCATGCTCATCAAGAAATTAATTATTTCTTCCAGCAGGCTGCCTGAGCCGGGAGGATTGCCTCTCGTACCTGGAGCTCCTCCTGGGGGTGGTGTGTGCATGAGCAAGTCTGTCTGCATGCCTCACCGAGATGTGTTGTGCTCATAGGTGTGTGCAGGAAGCAGGAGATGGTGTGACTGCAGGCACAGAAAGGAAGCTACAGAGGCGATGCAAAAATTGGGAAGACTCCTTGCTCTGTGTATGCGCAAGAGAGAGGATGCCCTTGGTCATACTGAGTGGCTTTGTCTGCATGAGAGAGCTCCCAGATAAGGAGAGCTGTGTGCAGGAAACAGAAGCTGCAGGGTAAGTGGCAATGCATTGCTTGTCTTTACCTCGGTGTGCAAAGAGCATACAGATGGCCCAGGCCATGCCCCCATGCTCTTTAGATCTGTCTTCAGAATGGTTGACATGTTTGATGATGCAAGTCTAAATTTATCCATTGTTCCCCCTGTGTGTTTTCCACTAGGGAAGTGTTTGCATGTATACAGCATGTGTTAAAAGGAGGATGCGTGTGGTGGAGGATCTGGTGTCAGCTGTATCACCACCATTTTGGACTCATTTCATTTTTGACTATGGCCCACCTTAACACAGCCCCAGTTCTTACAGACTTCAGCTGGCCAACCCCCTGTGCATCAGTGCGTAACTCATACCAGCAAGTAAGCAGAGTCAGGTCCTGGGATGTTCAAAAATAAAACCTTTGCACCCCTGCCTGATAGCAGCAAGGACAGATCTGTCCTGGAAAGCAGAATTGCTTTGTGGTGGCTCAACTGTGAGAGCTGCCTGATTGGCTCTGCTAGACAGCGCAGCGCTGAGTTTCAGGCTCAGGGTATTCTTGGTAATCTGTATCATTAATTGAAACCTTATTAATGGCAAACACGGGATGACATTTTACATGGTTTAGTTATGTTCTGTGAGTCATTGGTACAACGCAGCCTCAGCCACAAGGCAGGGAAGCCCCTGCTGTAGCTGATAATAGAGAAGCAATAACAGCTCAGTCCCCACTAACTGGTCGCGAGGTGACAGGGACAGCCCTTGCCAATGTCTGATCATCTCCCCTCTGGCAATCGCTCATCCTGGGCTCAAGGGGAGTCTCAGAGGAAAGCACTGCCTCGTCCAGCAGCAAAAACTGTTTCCACAACGGCACTGCAGACACTGGGAGGAAATTATAGGCCAAGCACTTAGAGTCTTCCACACTGGTTTAGCCAGAGCCCCACAGCTGTGGTTTATCTGATGCCAGCAACATAAACCAGATGGATGACATGGATGGAGATAGGCCAAGCTGGGATGGAAAGCACAGAGTGCCCCTCCTGACTTGATGGGTTTCTGTAAGGTGAAGTAATGCAAGCTGAAAAGAGCCTTCAGTTGCAAAGCACCCCATGCTGAGGTGGTAAGAAATGAGATCTACTGTTTTTTGCAGGGTTTCAGCTGTGCTTCTAGGATCTCCTTTATTGCTGCAGGAAGAGAGGTGGTGCCCTGGGTACCTGGAGAGAAAAGTGGAATGTTTTCAGGCTCCATGGGAAAGAAGAATCCAGAGCTGCAGTTGTAAAGAGCAGTGGGCTTGGGAAGAAAAATCCAGCAGGCAGGGTGAGATGAATTGTAGACCATACACATGCTAGAGAAATAACTGCAGTTGCCAGTTCTGGTTAGCAGGTTGCAGGGAGATGGAGCCCACCCAGTCTGCAAAGGACAGCAATGGGCAAGTGCTGCTGGGCAACATATGCTGCTTTTGCAAGAGGCCAAGGCCTGATTGTTTCTCCAGCACTTCATGGCCAATTTGTTACCTGGGGGATGACAATGCCTAAACTCAGATCAGGCTCTCACCATGGTAGGTGCTGCATATACAAGCCTAATGAATTTCATGACTTAAAAGAGCTTTCTCCCATGATTAACAGGGCAGGTTGTGGATGAGTTGTCACAAAAGACAGTGAAAAAAACACAAATGCTTCAGTTCAGGGTCTCCAAAATCTTTCAAAGCCCAGGTAAGGCAACCTACCCTTGTCTATGTGTCTCTTAATTTGCTGTTTATGGCACCCAAGACTGGTGCTCCCTAATAACAAGTAACCTAAATATCCCGTGGATCACTTGAGTTGGGAGGTTACAGCACTTGCCCCAGGACTTTGTATGGACAGAAGACTCACCTGCAAAGATACATGGAGTACTTATCAGTGCTGAGGACTGAACTTGGCTCTGTCCTAGTCTTAGGCCTTAGCCCCATGACTGCCTTGTTTCCCAACAGACTGGCTGGGATGTTTTGAGAGGTCCAGCAGTGAAATATGCTTGCAGGATTCATTGGGGTATGTTGAGTTGGGGTACTTGAGCTTTATTGAGTCTTTCCACCATGAAACACATGTTCCTGGAACTCATCTCAAGACAAATGCTTGAATGTCAGCTCAGTGCCTCTTCAAGCCAGGCCAAGCTGCTTGCAAGTCTGTTTTGGAAGGGTTTAATGGACACTCCCCTCAGTGTGCTGGAAAATCACCCCTGCTGGTAACAGGTACTGTCCAGACTGATTACATTGTGTTTATGGGGTTCAGTGTGGGGGAGTGGATCTAGGATGTGTTTTTCAGGTTGTTTATGGCTGTGGGGGAGCGTGTCCTATCTAGGTGTGATCCCCACCTCTGCCATTTGTCGTTTTTTCTCTATCCTTCCATCCCTGAAGCAGCCTGGATTGGTTATAGCCCACATGTTTCAGTGGCCAACCTGGAAACAGGGAGCCAGAAAAAGTTAATGTGGAGTTCTGGTCTACTCCCAGGATGCATTTGGGCTGCAGCCCATAATGATATGTATAATTGCGAAGGCCTGCCAAAAAAAGCAGGCTGGATTTAATTGAGTCAACACACTGCTATTAATAATAAAATGGCAGAGACTTTGCTATTAATCACTTGTGCTGGCTTTATCACAGGCAGTCTCGGCTATCTGGCTACCAAACAAGACCTTTAAAAAAAATGGTGCAGAGGAAAACTTACTGGTGGGAATACACCTGCTAACAAAATAAACCCTGTAAACAAAATGTTCCTTGCAGAAGGAGATACTTTCTGAAGGAAGACAAATGGGGAGCATGTCAAGTGCCCACGTCTTGCAGAAAAGCCTCCTGTTAGAGGAGCAGATCAGATGGATGATGCACTTGGCAAGCAGTGCATCTTTGGAAAAGGTTGTTCTTGGTAAAGGACTTTGGGGTGGGAACTCAGGGAGAAATGAAACCTCCATTGAGGGAAATGTGATTGCTGCCAGAATATAACACAGGCCAGAGAGGAATGCACCTGTTCCTAGGAAATGGCAAGCACTCTGTCCACTGAGGTACCCAACAAAAAGGGAAATGCAAAATAAATAGCATGCCTGACGCTTAAATTTCTGCCCTGCTGTGGAGGGCTGGACAAGCTGTGTTGCGGTGGCTGGCTGTGAAGGCCTGCACCCCAAAGTGCCCGCTGCCAGTGCTGCAGTGCCCTGCTGCACGAGGAGGCTCCGGGCTGCCACTGAGCCCAGAGTGCTCTCCTTCTGTGACCTGACTTGGCCGTGCGGTGGGGTGGAGGAAGGACCAGAACGGAGCTCCAGCCCTTTCCATGCACTTGTCAGCTGCTCAGCATTCTCTGCGGCCCTCCTGATGGGCAGCACCCCAGTGCCTGGGAGCCAGCCACACACTGGCACCATTTCTTCACGGCTGTGCATGTAAGAGCATGCTGCAGTTTTAAAGCCCTCCTGCAGCTGAGGGTTTTATTGTAGCAGGCATGGCAATGGCATTCCTTGCTTTTGCCTCTGAGTGGAAGTGCTTGCTACGGTTGTGTCTGGGAAGGGATCATGTAGCAGAATGGTTAGAAAGCCAGGAAGAAGGGAATAGGCTTGAAAAGGTGCATCTGAACAGGGGATGTGATGTGTGCGAAGGCAGAGCAGAAGGACATAGAGCAGGTAGAAAACCAAACAGAACAGGTGCATTGTATGGCTTCGAGCCTAAAAGATTGTGGGGTTAATAAAAATGAAGGCACTTCTAGCAGTCACTTGGTAGGGGAGAACCCCTGCCTTCCACGCCTGAGAGTGCCAAGGGAATGGCATTCTTTTCTTCTCCTGCAAATTTTCTGGCACAAAGGGATACATTTTCTGTGCACCAACGCAAAAATTCTGTATGCATCTCGCACCAAATAGTCAAACAAAATAAATCTTTTAACAGGCTTAGAGGCCTCTTTCTCTCTGCTGTGAATTAAATAAGGTTTGTAAATGTTATCCATCAGGAAGACGGAGAAAAAAAGAAAAGAGAGAAAGCATGAACAAAATCCCAGAAAAAAAAATGATCCACTTCCTGCTGTTTTCCTTCCTTCTCCATAAAGTGAGTGTCTTATCCTCAGAGAAATTCACTTCATTGTTAGAAATAGCCGAAATTGGCTTGCAACTAGTAAAGATGCCAAGAATTTGCACCTTGCTCTGTGACCTAAAGCAAAAATGACATGAACATTGACAAATTTGACAAGGAAATTTGTGCAAAAAACAACTTCTATTTGGCTAGCCAAGCAGCAAATATGTCGGATGATATGCTTTATTAAGCAATCCATTTTTCAGCAATAGCTGCACCATCTGCAAAGGTTAGTGTGCATCAGGCTTTCCACAGAATTTCATCTGCGTCTGCAGCTAGGTGCAACACACGACCACATTTTTCATGTACATACAATTTTGGATGCAAATAGAATACTTGATGAAAGAGGTGACCTTCCGGACTGACTTCCCACATGCAGTAAAGTCACAGGCACAGAAGCAGCTGAGAGAAACATATCTCTGCCTGAAGGGAGGGGGGGGAGCTGGAGGGAGGAAGGAGGAGGAGGGGGGGAAATAAAAAGAGAAGAAAACTTCAAGAAAAAGTGTTTCCCAAAGAGGTGCTTTGATACATCATGCAGCTGATGCTTTGTACTTGTTCTAGTCAAGGGGATACTGGAACTGTTCTGTTGGGTAGCTGCAGTTCCCTTTGGATGGTATCTGTCTCTGTCTTCTACTGTTTCTCTTGCTATCCTGACTAGTTCCTGCTGCTACAAAATATGAGCATCCTTGGCTCTTCTCCCTTGTCTTTCGTTGATTCCTCTATTGTGTTCTGCATTTCAGACTTGTCATCTCATTTCCCCTCTTGCAGCTATGGTCCCTGCCTAGGGCTGCTGGATCTCCTTTCAAACATCCTTGGCTCTACAGGCAAGGAGAGGAAGTGTTGCTTTCAAATACTCGTTGGATGTATCCACGTTCTGCCTTTTTTTCTTTTAAGATATGGTGGTCTTCCCTTTGTATTGCTTTCTACTGGATGGATACAGCTTTTTTGTGTCCTGCCTGCCCTACATTAGGCACAGTCAGCTCTGCTCTAGTCCCCAGTCTCCTTCCCCAAGTGCATGCTGTGCACATGGCTCCCTACGCCTCATTGATGGCTGCTGGTTATAAATTCATGTTCTCAGTCCCTACTCCACTTAGCTGAAGTTGGATGCCATCCCAGTGCCTTGCAACTGTCCCTGGTCCAGTGGAAAGTTTAATCTGCCAGTTCATGGCGCGTCATCCTATGGGGAGAGTTCAGTTCAGCGCGGCTCCGCGCTGCACAGAGAGAAGCTCATTAGCGGGACGTGGTAGTGTCTGATGACACTGTGGTCCAAGAAGGCCTCATTAGGCACAGAATGTTTTCTGTGGCTCTCTGAGGTTTCCTAGTAACTTAAGGAATTCAGACAGAGTTACCACCAGGGTGCAGATGAAATGGGGGGCAAAGATGCACTCTCCGAGGGCCATCCCCCATCTGTGCCTTTTGGAGGAGCAGACATTGAATGGAACTTTGCCTCCACTTCAGCAGCGTTGGATCCTCACTGCAGGGATGCAGATGGGGCTGGTTGGCCTGGCAGGCACACTGTCCCCTGGTTGGCTGCTAAGTGATGTTAAGTGATGAATGTTAAACTTAACAAGGGAACTTACAGATTTACGTAAGGGTTTTACTGCCTGCCAGGTATAAATGATGGAGCAGCTTTGATCTTTAGGGGGATCAGCACTGGAAGTGATTTAAAATAAAGTTAATAAAACTGCTTAAAACTGTACTCTGCAGTCCCAGAGGCTGGAGCAGCCCTAGTGGTCATTTGAGTGCTTTAAGTAAAAATTGTTCTCATTTATGAGGAAGACCAAGTCCCACTGGCATTAACCGTGTTTCCAGTTGAATAATAAATGGCATCTTTTAGGAGTTCTGCAAGTCCTTCCCTTTGCCCACTGCAAATCTCACAGCCTGCTGGAGCCACCAAGCTTTTATCCACCGATACAAAAGATGGCAGACTTGGTGTTTCCACAGGGTTTTCTCATTCTCTGTCCACTTCATCGTCTTTAAACCAGGTCTGTGTGCTTTGGCCTTAGGTAGCTTGTTACAAGCTGGTGCTTTTATCTTGGGACTCTTTGTTTTATCTTTGGAATTTGCCAGCCAGCAGTGACAAGTAAATGTCATGAACATTAAAATTTTGTTGGCTTCGTGGATAGGAAAGAGGATATCACTAAAGTATGCTTACAGTTTTTATGGATGGTCCTGTAATATCTTTTCCCAACCCCCTACATGCTAAGAAAGTTCCTCATAGAGGTGGAAATTCTCATTTGCAATGCAGAGTCTATCTCTCAGGAACCTTAGCTGTCCCCTACAATATAACTATGGTTATTTCCACTGGGCATTTCCATAAATCTCAGTGTGAAATAGTGTGAGCTGTTAGGTAGGGTTCTTGGGTGCCAGTGTAAGCAGCAGTTATGTCACCTACCCTGGCTCAGGTGAATAAGTGGCTTGTTGCTGGACTTTGCTGACACCCCTGTATCAGTCCAGCTCATTAGATCTGAAAGCAAATTCCATTGCTTAATGTGTTCACAGCCATGAAACAAACAGCATCATCCAGAGTTCTGTGAGCTTTCCTGCATGCCATCAGCCTGAGTCACCAGGCACATGAAAATGTTCTTGCTGTAAGGTTTCTAACTCTGCTGCCATTTCCTAGAAACCCTTAACCCACTGCTCAGCATCAAAACAAGTGGCTTTTTGTGGGCCTCTCTAGAAAACAGTGATTGGCAGCCACTGAAATTGAGTTAGCAACAACTCACCACTGGTAGAATAACCACTTTTTTGTTATTTTATTTCAGACCAGTGTTCCGTTAGCCATGAAAGTCCTCAGCACAATGATTTGATGAGGCCGTGATCTCGGAGAGTTAGAAAATGAGATGGGTTCTTTGGATGGATCAGGAGGAAATGCTGAATTGTAAAGGTATGCTCGAGTCTGGGATGGGCTTTGCTCTGTGGAGGAGCCAACTGAAGGCTACCACTGACCGAGAGGAAGCGGCATGAAAATCTTGTTACTTGCACCTTGTTAGATAATTACCTCTTGCAGAGTTGTTATTTTTTCCCCTGAATTACAGTCACTGTTGGAGGCAGGTTATGGGCTCAAAGAGCACTGGCTGGACAGCCTGGTATTTCCTGCGCTCTTATTTCCACAGATCCTCTCACACCCCTGCCTTTGTCCTGCTATTGTGCAACATTACAAGGATGCAATATGTCTGAGGTTGCTGCAGCGTTTCTGCAGACAGCTCTGAGTGGTGTTTGCAGAGCCCCCCGATATGCTCCTCACTCTCCCGCAGCATTTCTAACCCCCAGGGGCCGGGGGTCACCTCTCACTTTACATGGTGTAAATTGGTAATGACACAATGAAATCAGTCATGATGAAATGGCTCCATTCTGATTACAATGAGAGGGGATTTGGGATCTGTGTTTCTGTTGTGGTGTCTCATGAGCTGTACATAAACATTGGTGGTGGTTTAAGTCTTTTGCTGAAGATTACCAACAGTATTTTGAACTCTCCTATCCTATCCCACATGATTGTGGCAAGGCTGAACAAACTCCACTTTCAGAGTTTTCTGTGTGTTTCCAGAGAGGTTCTTTGTATTGCATCCTGTAGAAGCCTATCTGTTGATAGCACAAGGGGGGAGGGGGA